GGCATATCGACTGAAATGGACATTAGTCTTGTAAAATGATGTTTTTTTCTTCGAACTGGTACTACTTCCTGACCGTGTTTGGCATCAAATCTCTTCAGTTCTTCGATGATTTTGGAAAATTTTTTGTCATTGCCTCCATTGATGAGCATGTCAAGTGGAGTTCTCTTTCTATCATTGATTGCATCAATATTTGCACCAAATACTAAGAGTAGTCGAACCATTAATAAATCCCCTTTCTATATAAGAGGAAGGAAAGATACACACATTAAATGCAATGAATAAAAATGTCGAGTAAAAAAAAATTATTGCTATTACCTGGACTGCAATGTGCAATGCTGTATTACCAAAAGCAGCAGGTATGCCAATATTCTCAGTCCCAAAGTCACTGAACACCATTAGTATCAGCAGACACTCTAATTTATCTTTTCTGTCACTTCGTACAATAGCATGGAGAGGAGTATCCATTCTCTCATTTCTCTGGACTTGATCATATTTCTTCATTTCAAGATGCTTTAGTAGTTTCTAAAAAAAGCAATAATGTAATAAGAGCAGTAAAGCTACATTAATCAAGACTATTCAGAAAGGAAACTAATAAATGCATTCTTATCCCTATCCACTTACTTCTGCTGATTTTGGATTATGAAGCTTCAGTTTCTATTAAGTAAAGAAGAGAAAAAGTTTTATGACACACAGTTTCATAACTTACTATGAAATGAGGTGCTTTAGGTGATACTGGCAGCTTCTTCCTGTCCAACAACTATAAAAATTTCAATTCACAGTATTAGTATAATGCTATTAACAAATTGACTTATTGTGATCATGCATTGGCTTACCGATAAATTAGGAGAGCTTAGCTTATGTTTCTACAAAAAATATGAGACATATAAAAAGTAAAGTGTAATTAATGCAATCTCTCAACAGTGAATATAGCACAAAATTAAATAATTACATTTAACTTTTCAGGTAAAAAAACTCTTTCTTAAGTTTCAACTTACATTAATACTGGTTGGGCCTGCAGATTCAAGAACACTCTGTGCTCTTGTTTTTTTTGGCGGCGGTGATAAACTCGCCCCAGCTCCAACAATGCTTTCCAAGACCTTTCTTTCTTTCTTTTTCTTTTTCGTATCATACAGACTAAAATCTGCTTGCATTGTTGCTCTCCTAGCCTTTTCCCTCTCTCCTTCTTTCTTTTTTTCCAACTCTTTTTTATCTTCCTCTTCCTCACTCAGTGAGTGATCATTAGTTATAATGGCATCAGAATTTCTCTTCTGAATCATATCCAGCGCACTGATCTTTCTTGTACTTTCTGTGGCTACACGTTTCCTGAAAGTCCTCCTCCTCCCATGGTGCTTCAAAGAGGGGTGAACGTACTTGAACTTGAAAAACAATTCATTTAACAGCTCTTGACTGTGTAATCGGGTCATTCCTGCATCATCACTAGGCCTACTCAGCCAGCGGTCATCCTCTGACAACACTTCTTCATCTCCTTGATAGCCAGTGAGTGAAACACCAGATATTTGCTTTGTATGATGAATATTAGGAAGGTTTTGAGGCATAGAGGGGGGATCTACAATAAGACCATTCATCAACTTTTCATATTCTTGTCTTTCAAGTTCCTGTCCCTCTAATTCTTTATCAACCTCCTTTCCTTCTCCTTCATTACTGCTATCATCATCATTTTCATCACTGTCCACATCAAGGTGATACTGCCTAAAATCTAATTCAGGAACCAGCTCCATGTCTCCATCAATCTCATTCATATTGCTGTAACATGTTAATGAGCTGGTCACAAGAGGTGAAGGCCTTATCCGTGATATCCCTGCAGCTGATCTTGTGACAAGGCGTCTGTTTGATGGAACTTGAAGAAACTGGACACCTCTTCGACGTTGCTGCTGCTCATCAGCTCCCTCTCCTTCACCTCCTTGATGCAGCTCAGGGTTTGAGCTTGATCTTTTAAACGAGCCTCCATTATTAAATGACTCCCTGGAAGTCTCAGATGGCCCAGTGTCACTAATTTTTTTCCTTTTCAAAGCATTCTTTCTCTTCCAAGCTTTATGATAACCGTCATGTTGGGCTCCTTTTATTGTCGTCTTATCATTCTCTGGCATTATTTCTGGCTCACTAAAGCATACAACCTCAGGTGAGGCACTCCTCCTGTACTGCAGATTGGAAAAAGACTCTTGTACTTTATCTGAGTTTGAGGTAGCCATTGTTAAAATATTGCTGAGAAGAAAAGAGAGTAGGACAGAGAAGAGGGAGAGAAACAGGAAACAAGCATCTATTTAGAACACACAGAAATAGCTATAACTCACAACTGTACACACCAACTGACACATGCAGATCAGATGGCATATAGTCTAGGCTAGGCCTTTACGTCAAAATAATGATAAGAACTAACACAGTTAAGAGTTAGAAGTAATAGAGTACTGTAAGTTTAGGCATAGATATGGTTTAGGTACTTGTAAAAAGAGAGCACTCAGCCTGCAAAAAGTTCAATAATTGGCTTACAACTCATAGTAGTATAGACTAGTGTTTACAAGTTCCTTTACAATAATTATTACAACTCACCTAGATGAAAATGAAAACCAACAGGCTAGGGAGCTACAGGAAGCCTAGGCTCAGCAACGGCTGGAATAGTTCAAAATAGTTTCTTACTCCCCAAGGAAAAGGATCATAAACAAACACTGACAAAAGGAACGTTTCCACCATTCACCATTGATATAATGCTACCACACTAACCACGAAAGCCAACGCCCACTCATTTCCTTATATGGAATGACCGGCCTTTGACTGTGCAATGAACATCATCGATTACAATCAAAGGAAACGGTTACATCAACTAGTGTCATTATTCATTGGAAATGAGACCCTTCTTCTCTTTTCAACTGTTCATTGAGAGTTTTATAATCAAATTTATTGTATAATACAAAAAAGGAAATGTGATGGTGATGCTGCTACATAGATGAATGATAATAATAATAATAACAATAATGAATAATAATAATAATAATATTAGATTAGATAAAAAATAATAATGGTAATAATAAAGATTAAAATGAGGGGATAACAAAGATGTCAAATTCACACAATAACATACTGAGCTATGATACTTAAGGTGGATAATATATAACAATCATAATAATAATTACAGTAATGAGAATCTTGTTAGAGGATTAAGAGCATGAGGATAATAACTGAATAATAATAATAATAATAATAATAATATGGGCAAGGTAATCATTTCTCTTAAGTAATGTATGCATCAGTGTGATACTGAATGAAAGGTGCACAAAACAATGAATTGTATCTACAGTGTATGTTGTGTGTATTAGGTGCATGGATACTAATTTATTGGAGGTGAGTTCTAAACTTGCAAGCCTGAATTTGATTCCTTTTTAGTTTTTATATTTTTGACTTTTATTGTTCATTTTTCCATAAATGCATGTGAGAGTACTGTATGCATGAACTATATATATGTGACACTGTGAGTGGTGACTGAAATGAAACAGGATACTGCATGAGCTGGGGAAGAGGAGTAGGTGAGTGATGGATGCAATAATTATATCTGGTGAATTCATATCTGATTGGAACACTTGCATCGCCATAGAAAGTGCTTTCGTTGCAGATCATCATCTAAAAAAAAAAGTAACTTATGAAGTCATTTTCTCTTTATATAAATTTTTGAGACTCATAATCCACATACATACACTGAGTCTCATTCCCATACACACTGAGTTTCATTCCCATACCTGATGAGTTGGTTTCAGTTGATTTAGTGTGAGGTACCAGATCAGAAGGTGAGAGGGCGTCGCTGGTTGTGAACATACAGGAAGCTCCCCCCAGGCCACTTCCAGAAGCAGTGTAGGTCTTTGTGATTTTTACAAAATATTCTTTAAGTTCTTCAAAGCCACACCGCATGTTCTGTAGCTCAATCCTGGTACGTAATACCGAGTTTAAGAGTTTACGAGTCTCGGTTTCGAAAACTGAAACCTTCTCCTTGAGATGAGGGCTGAATCGATAGTAGGGTATACCCAAAGACTTGCAGCGAGAGGCACAATTAGCACTGACTGTGTCAGACTGGATTAACTATTAAAAAATAAAATAAAATAAAAAAAAAAAATATGAATAAATAATAATGTACATGTACACATGTAGTAGTGTCAAAAATAATTTTTAACACTTCATCAAGGTGTCCCACAGAATTTTGACTTCTTGTCAGTGAATTTTAAATGTTACTCAAAAATTGGTCAAAGACCTGTACTGTACAGTTGGTACATGTACATGTATTTCATAACTTCACAAATCACTAAGAAGAAAGTCTTACATGTATACACATTAATTTTTCTCATACATGTATATGTGCACTTACATGTATGTGCGTAGAAAT